GTGATAGTAATGTTAGATTGAGAGCTCAAGACTATGGAGATTTAGTTATGGACTAGAAAGAATATGTGGGAGAGAGATCTAAAACCAAACAATAAAGATATGCATCCTTAGCAATGGAAGGTATGGAAGGGAGCTGGTAGAACAAATAAATGTAGAGAGGGGGATTAGAATGGAAAAGATACCATGGGAGGTCCATTGTGTTGGAGACTTTGAGTAAGTAATGCTTCTATTTTATAGAAAAAGGAGAATATCTCTAAAGGATAATGCAAGTATATTTCACATCATCGATGATCCCACCAATGAAACATATCTTCATGTTTATTAAGAAAAATAACAATGAAATATTCTATGGATGCCAACTTTCATATCTTATAGTCCAGTATACATAAATTTAGGGAAGTTTATATAAATACACATGAGAGATGAACTATTTAAATGAACTATTTAAGGAAAATATCTCTATAGACTCCATTTTCAACTTTCATTTCTCCATTGACCTAAGGTTTCAAATCGTATCTTACTACATAGAAATTTACTCTTTTATATCTTTTAACCCCCTCAACATATTTTATTCATTTTTTACTAATTGTTTTGACCCAAACAACCTAAAAAAAGACATTGTTTCTAAACCCCTCTCGTTTGACATGATTACCTTTCTCTCTCCCCCGATTAACCTTCCAAACCCCTCTCTCTCTCCTTCTCCCCTCCTAAAACCACCACCACCACCATTGAAAACCCGAGAGAGGTTAGAGCTTAACCTGGGCAGTGGAATATATCGATGGAGGCGCTATAAGAGTGGGGTAGCTTGGCAGCGAGAGAGGTGTTGATCTTGATGTGGAGGTTGGGGTTAGTGGAGTCTTTGATAAAGATGCAGAAGCACGTGCCACTTTTCTCCACCACCTGCTTCAGCCCCCCGCAGCAGTCCTTGGTGGGTGCCGTCGCCTCCCCCTGCACATACGACAGGCACGGCGCCAACCCGGTTAGCTGCTCAGTGCACTCTTTCCTGTCCTCTACAAGGTCACCTCCCACTTCCCCTACCCCTCCTAAAACCACCACCACTACCTCCCACTCCCCTCCCCCCTTACCTAAAGGGAGAATCCCAACTGAACCATAACACAAACCCCTTGAAACCCGCCTCAAGAAAATCATTAAAGTTAGATTGGCTGGACTTGGAGCTGCCGATGAGAACACCGGCTACTGCTGAAGAACTGCGCCAGCTTGAGCATGCCAAAAGCGAGCTTTCAAGCTGGACTTGATGATCTGTTGTCATCGATTGTGTTTATTTGGGGGCTTTTTGTATATATGAATCTCCATCTTTTTGTAAATTGGCCTTTCTTTCTTTGGAATGAAATTTTTTATCATTTGAGCTTCTACTGCCATTTTTTTTTGCTCCTTTCATGTTGCAAACCTTGAAAAATTAACAAGTTGCAGTAGCTAGGAAACCATTCCTTAAGGCAAATGTAGTTTGGTGGGGTGCTTTGACCTCACGCACATGCATTTTAGCATGTTGATCTCGCTAGAAGACCGTTCCGTTGTCGGCCAAGCTTTATGTGCAAGAGTATACACTACGTCGTTGACAAAGCAAGCATATGATTGCTAGTGAAGAACCATCTGCTTGCTTGGTGGGACCAAAGAGCATAGGCCGGTGGGACTTACTTCACTTTGGTAAAGTAACCATTCTAGCAGAGAAACTGTCATTGATTTGAACCAGTTCTCGCTTGAAAGAATCAAGAACTTCTTGATCATTGCTCATGTCCATTATGGGAAATCGACTCTGGCCGATAGGCATTTGGAGCTCACTGGAACCATCAAGAAAGGGCTTGGTCAGCTGCAATACCTCGATAATAAATTCCGGTGACCCCATTGCAGGCCGAGAGTGAGAGTAAGAGCAAGAGAGCAACTAGAGAGAAGGTGGGTAAGAAGAAGAGAGAGTTTTGAGCATGACCAATTTAGAAAAGAAACTAGTCAGGAGAGAGATTGAAACACGAGGAGAGAGTTAGAAAAAAAGATGCCTTTAATAATTTGTTTGGGTTAAAAGTTGGAATAAAAATAGATAAAGTTATTTGGGGATTAGAAGATAGGTTTTGAAATTTTGGGTTTAAGAAGAAATGAAAGTTGAAAATAGGGTTTATGGATATATTTTCCCTACTATTTATCATTCTTTTTTTTAATTTAATTGCAAAATACCCATCAAAAGTCACGTCATCATGAGTTGAAATAGTGTAAATGGGTACAATGTTGAATAATTCATATCACGGGTATTTTGATAAATTTCCTATATATTTATTTTATGTACATGAATTTTTTTTAAACAAATTTTTAGACTTGCCTTTTCACTGTCCATTCAAATGATGAATGGTATTAGAAAGAGTGGCATCCATCTCTGGTGCATGTATTGTTCCGGTGGGTCCCAGACTCTATCACGATTGATCATTTCAATGGATGGTGTTGTGTGACCAATGGACTATGGTTCTCGGACTGTCCAATTGAACTACAATATGCTTTCTCTATGAAGTTTGCAACCACTTTCTTGGCTCATCCTCCTTCAAAGTAGGTTTTTTTACCCAACCATTATAAGCAATTTGTCACCTAACCTCCAGTTTGGATGCAACTTACTCTTTTGACTGTTGTTTGGTCGACGTTCCAACAAAATGTGTCATTTTACAAGTGGCATGAAAACTGATATTCTCAGTTTTGGTCTCAATCGCAAAACTGCTGTGTTTTTCGAGTGTGCCATCACCTACTTGGGTTCTAAGGTTGCAGCCATAGGAACCACAACCACAAATGATGCCTCCCCAACAGTGCCAAACCATGGTTTTGGGAGGCATGCAATCAAACCATAAACTGGAGAGATTTCTGGTGGGGCTATTTTGTGATGAAAAGAGAGGTGTTTCAAGACTTAAATGGTGAATTTAAGCTCTTTCTTTAATGGGCTTTCTCCTAGTCTCTAGGGAGATTATTGCCTGGCCACTTTTTCCTTGATAAGTAACTCATGACTGGAATCCCCCCATGGAATATTTGAACTCTCACTCTCTCTCTCACTCTCTCTCTATCTATCTCTCTCTCTCACTCATGGATGAAACCCTCTCCTGGCTTTCTGCATTCTATGCATAGGTTCCACTTTGATTGATTTCATATTTCGTGTTTGAGTCAGCATCATTATTTCATTCCCCTTAGAAATTCTGAACCGCCTTCCAGTTTTCTATATTTTGAAATTATGCGGTTTTTTAAATGATTTTATGTTTCATCTTTAATAGAAATGACCATTAGAGCTTTCTTTATTATTACTATTTTTTTTGGGTGAAAACAAGGCGGTCAGTGGGGTTTGATTACATGACCTCCCATGAAGTGCTAATATTATTAATTTTTGTTTCGTGCAATCTCTCTCTCTCTCTCTTGTTGATCAAGTGTCATGTTTTGATTGTGATGATGTTTTCAGATAATAGAGGAGTGTGGCCAGCGGTTTGATGATGAGCAGGTTTCAGAGTTTGCAGAGATGGTGGAGGAGGTGCTGCCAGGCCCTCCGGCGAACTCAGGAGCAATGGAAGTGGATCAGCCGTCGCAATAAGCTTGCATGTATTTTGTTGAAGGTGCAATGCCCTCCATATTACCATTTTCCCTGTATTTTGTTGAAGGACACATGAATGTTACACTGCACTTTCTTAGAAGCTCAGTAGTTTGAACTTCAACGACTTGCTTCTCCACTCCCTTCTAGCCCGTTTGGATCCATAAAAAAAAAGATTACTTTTGGAAAAATCTATTTCCTTTTAATGTGTCTATTGAGAAAAGCATTTCCTATAAAAAAGATTTATGTTGTTTAGATGTCAGATGGATGTATAACATTTTCATATATTTTTTTTCTGTTAAATGCTTTTAACTGTATTATTTATTATGATGTCAATTTTTAAAATTAATTTTAAAATAGTTTTTCTCTCTAAAATTGTTGAGATAATTTTTTTTGAAGAAATTTTGAGATAATTTTGCTCTCTAAATATTTCCAAGTAGTTTCCTTCTCTAAAATCTATATAGTAAGAATTTTCAGGTACTTTCTCTGTGTAATACTCAAAATTTGATGTAGTTTCTCTCTCTAAAAATTTCAGGTACTTTCTATCTCTAAAATTGATATAGTCTCCCTAAAACTTCAAGCTACGCCTCTTTCTAAAACTTAAAATATGAGAATTTCTTCCCAAAAATTTTGAAATAGTTTCTCTCTATAAATATTTTTAGGTAATTCTCTATTGAAAATTTGATATAGTTTCTCTTTAAAATTTTAGTATATTCTCTTTGTAAAATCTAAAATTCGAGATGGTTTGTCTCTCTAAAACTTTAGAGATAGTTTTTCTCTAAAAAATTTCAAGTACTTTATCTCTCTAAAATTTAAAATTTGAGATAGTTTCTCACTAAAAAATTTGAGATAGTTCTCTCTAAAAAAATTGATATAGTTGTGTAATTGTTTATCAATAAAATTAAGCATTATTGATAAAAAAAAAATGATGTAGTTCTCTCTCTAAGAGTTAAAATTTTAGATAATTTTTTGTTTTAAAAAATTTTAAGATAGTTTCTCTCCCTAGAAAGTTTTAGGTACTTTCTCTTTTGAAAACTTAAAATTTGAGACAATTTCTCTCTTTAATACTTAAAATTTGAGATAGTTTTTCTCTTATAAATTTTTAGGTACTTTCTTTCTACAAAATTTAAATATTTGAGATAGTTTCTCTCCCTAAGAATTTTCAGGTTTTTTTCTTTATAAAATTTAAAATTTGAGATAGTTTCTCTCTCTATAAATTTTGAGATAGTTTCTCTTAATAAAACTTAAAATTTTAGATAGTCTCTCTTTTTTTGGAGGCTTTAAAAGTTTTCAAGTACTTTCTCTAAAATTTAAATTTTGAGATATTTTCTCTTTAAAACTTCTTTAGGTACTTATATCTCTAAATTTGAGGTATTTTAAGACTTAATAATAGGAAAAAAATTTCCCTTCAGATTTTTAGATAGTTTCTCTCTAAAATTAGATATAGTTTTTTTCTCTAAAATTTTAAGATAATCTCTCTCTAATAGTTAAAATTTGAGATAGTTTCTCGTTCTAATTCGCGATGATGCTTTGGTGGAATTAATTGTATTTTATAAGGGGGTGTCTTTGTAACATAGGCATCTTGTTGGAAATCAATTTGAGGGTAAAAGCTGTAAATTTCCTTATTTTTATTTTTTTTGGCTTGAGGAAAATAATTTCAAATGGAAATACTTTTCTGCCCAAAATTTTGTTGCAAATGTTAGAAATGTGCCATTTATATATATATATATATATATATATAACATTTCTGAAAATGTTTTTGTAGGTATCCAAACGGCACCTATGAACACCCAAATTTCATGTCATTAAAAAAAATAATAATAATAAAAAGAAGAGAGAGAGAGAGAGAGGTTGCTCACAGTTAAGGCTTCTCTTGTTTCCACCATTCGTTTCTTTATAACAAAGCCAACAAGTGTAAATTGCTCGTATTCCTCAAAAACTTTGATGCTACTCATTTGTCGAATTCTACCATGCTTGGATGAAAATTTACATTTAAAAACATTTCAAACAAAGTACCTACAAAAAAACAATAAAAAAGAAAAAAAGGACAATGTCCAAGGATAAAAAAGGAATTATGTTGCAAAATAAAATTATCGGCAACAACATCGGGCAAAATTAACCATGTTTTAAAGGGAGATAAAAATTGAGAAGAAAATTGCAAGCGGAGGAACAAACGTGCGGATTCGAGTATTTTGTTACGGCCCACAAGCATAAAAAGAAAGAAAATACCAACAAAAAGCCACTTTAACATGCCCACAAGCACAAAAGGGGCCTCTCTCTCTACACCATCAGAAAATATCACTTTTTTTTCATTAACAAAACTCAATCCTTAATTACACTGAAAATATCACTGTTTTTTCATTAACAAAATTCAATCCTCAATTACATAGTATGTGATCCCTTTCATAAAGGTCTTGTAGAGAGCCTAAAGATACCTTGTCTTCTAAAGATAAAACCATAAAATAAACCCCTATTTCTATGTTCTTTGCTTTTTTGGGTAGGTATCTCTGCTCCTTAGCCCAAATTGTACTACAATCTCACATTCTTCCCTTACTAACTTCCCAAAAAAAAAAGAAAAGATCCTTATCTTTCCTTACCAAAAAAGAGGACTTTTTTCTTATTCATATCTCACTTCCTTAATAAAAAATCGAATAGAAAGCACTTTATGAATTAAACTAAAAAAATTAATATTAATTCTATTTTTTATAATTAACTTCAATAAAAATAAATAAAAAATCTACCCACATTTCTAAAAATAAAAAGCTTAAAAACGAAACTAAAATTTTTTAGCAACCAAATATTGATCTGCAGGAAATTATCGTTTGAAAAAAAACATAAGAATGAGATTGTACGAAAAGTAAAGGACACCAAAGCATCGGATGGCCGAAATCAAGAACCTTAGGAGCTCCCTCAAATGAAATGTCCCCCTGACCATATCATCACCACAAAGGAGGATCGAAGAGCTGCCATTATCAATGACGCTATCACAAAAAACACTAAGGTCGGCACCCTCATCTCCACGGACACGGTTCTGTTTCAGCTCAATGATTTATCGGTTAAGAGAGAGATTTTGAGAGCATTCTGTAGAAAAAGAAAGAGTCTCCTGTTGTCCTTGAAATTGTTGGGCAAAGGGAGAAAGAGGGAGTGTCTTGTAATCCTTGGAGAGAAAGAGGGAGTGTCTTGTAATCCTTGGAGAGAGAGAGTCTTGTAATCCTGAGAGAAAGCGTCTCGTAATCCTTGAAGAAAGAGAGAGCCTTGTAATCCTTGAAGGTGCTGGGTCGGGAGAGTACAAGAGGGAGAATAATCGGTGAAGTAAACCTTTGATGTCTCTTTTATAGAGAGCTAAAAAATCTATTGGAAATTATTTTACTGTTGAAAACCCCTCTAATTGATCATTTTGATATTGAATATGAAAAACAAAAAAAATTGAGTATCAGAAATAGTGTATTTTGCAACACATTATCTAGACGGTCTATTTTCAATATTTTTAGATGTTATAATCTACTTGATTTAAATCATTTTTGAAGTTTAAAATTTTATAATTAGAGATAATAAATAGATTTTTAAAGAATTCTAACAATTTTTTACATCAAAATTACGTGTTATATATTCTTTCCGTGTATGACATAAACTTCACTTTTACGTGGGAATTTCCAAGAAGGGAAAACATATGGTTTGCAGTTTCTTTTTTTTCTTTTTCTTTTGGTTGTCCTTTTTCTTTAAACTTTAACCATGAAACATTCGGCTGGTTTGCAGTTTCTTTTTTTTCTTTTTCTTTTGGTTGTCCTTTTTCTTTAAACTTTAACCATGAAACATTCGGCTGCAATTCGTATTTGATGCTTTGTACCGACTTTGGGGTGGCAATGGGTTAGGTGGCGTCTAGGTCTCGCCGGACCCGTCCACGGACTTAGAGTCACGAGATTTGGACCCCGACCTAGTTCCAAAAATATAATGTGGGACTAAGACCTGACCATACCATCGGACTCGACCCAAAACTATATATATATATATATATATATAGGAAAATACTGAGATTAGCCTACTATTTCATATGAACATATGAGCTCAACGGTCCAGATTGAATATGAGCTGATCTGACGGTCACGACATCATTTCGTATTTTAATTTTAATTTTTTTTTATAAATCCAAATAACTTGAAATTTAGCCGTCTATTCTTCTTATTAATGCGCAACTAAAAAAAATATTTAAAAAATAATTCACAAAAAATAAATTGATCAAAATACACTTAAAACTTTTTAGGGGTATTTTGGTCAATTTTATTTCTTGCAAATTATTTTTTTGATATTTTATTAAATTCTAATATTTTTTAAAAAATACACGCCTAAAATTTCAAGTTATTTGGATTTATAGAAAAAATTAAAATTCAAATATGAAATGAGATTGTGATAATCAGATCGGCCCAGATTCAATCTGGGTTGTTGGGTTCATATGAGCTAGTAGGCTAATTTCAATATTGTTTATATATATATGAAGATACTACAAAACGCTTATAGGCAAAAATAATCAGTGATTGCGCTTACCCTTATCACGGTCCAAAGTTTATCGCACAGTCACGATTGTTTGGTAGTGTTTGATTTTTCATTTTTTTTTTCTATAAATCGAAATGATATGAAATTTGAAGCGTGTGTACATAAAAAATAGGTGAATCTACAAAAAATATCAAAAAAATATTTTAAATTAAATAAATTGACCAAAATACCTCGAAAAGTTTCATGGGTATTTTGGTCAAATTTGCTTTCGTAAATTATTTTTTTTGTATTTTTATTAGGTGCGCCTCACTTAGATGTACGTATTCTCCAAATTTCAGATCATTCTGATTTGTAAAAAAAATAAAAAATAAAACACTACTAGACAATTGTAATCGTGTAATAAACTTTGAACGGTGATGAGGGTAGGTAAAATCACTGTTCATTTTCACCTATAAGCGTTAGGAAGATTTTTCCATATATATATTGGCCCAGTATAGGACCCAATGGAGTTCACTCTAATTCAATTAAGTGATTTGCCACGGCCAAAGGTTGAGTCCCTTGGCTGAGATGATTTTCAAGATTATGGTGAGAAATATCAATGTCCCAACTTTGAGCAAAATCTACTATATAGATAAAAAATAAAATAAAATTCCAATATCTACTTTAAAAAATGGGATTTAAATGTAAAATATTTGGGACCGAAGAGCAAGCAGTGTTATCATGCCCAGTCCATTCGAATTTAGATCAACGGACGATCGAGATACTACCCAGTCCATTTAAATTAGTTCAACGGACGATTGAGATAAAAAATGGTGCTCCTCTAAGCTTTGAAAAACGTTTATATAAGTGTGAGGTTCTAAACAATTAAATTAGGGTACACCTCTTTTATTAGAAGAAGTTACTTTTTGATGGCCAAATATCCTCAAACATTTTCATTTTGATGTCAAGATACATAAACATGAAAATAAAATACATTTCAATTTTTGAAAATAGTACATCTTGTAATGTATGTGTGGACCATCAATTTTCAAGATTTATAGGTTTTCATAGTGCCTAATTTTTGAAGCTTTAAATTTTATAATTAGAGATGAAAATATATTTTAAAACTATATCAAAGATATCCAGTATTGAAACCACATTTCTCTGCACTATATGAAGGTGCGTTTTATTTTTATTTTTAGACTCGCAACCTTGTACAATATATAGAGCCGAGGCTTTAAACAATCAAATTAGAGCCTACCTCAAAACGTTTTGATGCCCAAATATTCTCAAATTGATCATCTCAACATCAAGATGCATGGAGATGAGAAAAAAATGGATTTCAAATTTTGGAAAAAGTTTATTTTGTAATGAATTTTTGACCGTCAAATTTCAAAAATTTCAAGTTTTCAAAGATCTATCGATGTACACTATTTTTTGAAGCTTTAAACTTTATAAATAAAGATGAAAATATATTTTAAGGTTATCATAAATATTTTCAGTGTTGAAACTAATTTTTCCATACTATTTGAATGTAGGTTCTAATTTAATTGTTTAGAGTGTAGGCTCCATACAAACATCACCCAAATTTGATTGGGAAAATTTTTTATTATTCTTTATTTTTGACTTTTATATCTCATCGGACTTAATAATTGACAATATTACTTGTAAACAAAAAAAACTCTATTTTTTCTATCTACCAATCCCTCCTAAACCTTTTTGACCATATACTATTGACTTCAACAACTTATGAAATTTGGCCATATACTATTGACCTCAACAACTTATGAATTGATTTTACCTCTCGCTCTTTAAAACTCCATCTCTCTCTCACATCATCGTCTCTCTCTTAATACTCCATATCTCTCTAAAACCCAAACTTCATATATCTCTCAAAACTCTATCTCTCTTCTTAAAACTCAAACTCCATCTTTTTCTTTCTAAAATTCTATTTCTCTTTAAAATCCAAACTCCATCTCTCGTTCTTACATAAGAAAGTGTACTCGTGCTCGAGCTCAAACTAAACCCTTTACTAAGTAAACTCATCGAAAAGCGGAGAGAGCGATAGAGTTTTAGAGAGATATAGAGTTTGAATAAGATGTTATTTTAGTGTTTGTTTGAATCAAAAGTTGAGGATAAAAAAGTCCACTAATATTCTCAGTTTTTGAGTTTGATGGGATATAGCAGGTAAAAATGAGCCATGAAAGTTAAAAATATAGAATAAAGCAGTGTTTTAAAAAATGCCGAGTCGAACTGGACTCGCCCGGTTCGACTCGGAAATCGCAAAAAGTGGATCGTATCGGTTAAAATATCGGAAATCGTTCGGTTCTGGAGAGAACAGGACGATTCTGTACAGTGAATCGCCGATTCACTGTACGGAATCGGCGAGTCCGAACAGTGAATCGGCGAGTCCCGTACAGATTTTTTTTTTTTTTTTGGTAATCCATGATATATTTT